CATTCTGTGAACATTTTTATTCATGGGCCAAACCACAAACTCTGCAAGCACATCTTGCTAATAGTTGTAAAAAAGTTTCTGAAGAGTAGCAGTATCATTTTAATAATATTATAGTTAATAATTTAGAAGATATTCCAACTGATGAACTTATATCAAATGTTAGTTCATCTTTAGTTAAACAAAAAAAAATAGCCAAACAATCTGAGTTAACTAATTGATATGATTTTACAAAAATTGAAGCACCTATACAATCATTAATTGATGAAGCTATTTTATTAGCTTTTGTTATATGTGGTATTCCTTTTCGTATTGTCAACAATTCTTTTTTTACAAGTGCTTTAAAGCTTCTAAATCTTGGTTATAATATCCCATCATGTGAGGTTCTCTCAGGATGCTTATTAGATTCAGAATTTGCAAAAGTTATTCACAAAGTTGATGGAATTTTAGAACATACAAACAATCTTACTATCAGTCTTGATGGTTGGACTGCTCCTAATGGGTTATCAATTTGGAATTTCATTATTATGATATCATTATGGCAAGAATATCTTTATGAACTTGGAAATTATTCTGATCAATCTCATACAGCAGAATTTCTGACAAGCCAAATCGAATTAATTATAAATCGTATTGGTAAAGATAAAATTTTAGCAATAATCAGTGATAATAAAGCTAATGTAGCATCTGCACGCAATATAATTTGCTCAAAATATAAATATATTATAAATATTTGTTGTATTGCTCATTGTTTTAACCTAATTAGTAAAGATATTATTAAACATACATTTGCAGAAAGAATGATTCAACATGCTAATAAAATAGTAACATTTTTTAAAAAATCTCATAAAGCTGGAGCTATATTAAAAGAAAAAGTTATACAACATCAAATTAGTGGCGGTGGTCTTAAAACATATATAGAAACAAGATGAACAACCGTATATGAATGTGTCTTCTCAATTGTGCGACTTAAGATTTGCTTAGAGGAAATTCAAGAAAATCACTCTGAAATTATTAGTCCTGTCATTTTAACAATACTTTGTGGTTGAGGCTTTTTTACTGATTTGCAATATCTTTCAGATGTTTTATTTCCAATCAAAGAGGCAATTTTGGCAGTTGAGGCAAATTGTTCTACACTTGCTAATTGTTATATTAATTTAGTAAAAATTGCTGTGGCAATTCAAAATCTTTCTATTGATGAATATAAAGGATTTCACAATGAATATGTTAAAAAATTTAATAAATGGTTTGAAGAATTTAATGATCCTATTTATCAACTTACATATTTTCTTCATCCAGCATATAAAGGTCTTGGATTAAAGTTTGGTACATTTTCTTTTATTGCAAATTATACTGGAAAATTATAACAACAAATGGGTAAATCAAAAGAAAGTTGTGAAGCTTTAATAACACAATTATAAATTTACAAAGAGCAAAAAGAAAATATAAATGGAAATCTAAATCCTTATACTGCCCCCTATACAATTAGTAAGGATACATCATTAATGTGATGGAATACATGTGAAGCTAAGCCTAACAATTTACAATGCTTGGCAATTAAACTTTTTTCTATTACACCAAGTTTAGCTCTTTGTGAACAGATGTTTTTAGCATTAGGATGGATTTATGGAAAGCATCGAACTAGATTAAATATAGATCAGTTAGAAGGATTAGCAAAAATTTATCAGTTTAATTTATCAAACCCTATAGAACAACTTCATCATACTCAAACTGCAGAAATAACTTCTGAAATAATGACAAATATTGCTGAAACTGTTTTTAAAGAGTTTGAAGAAGAAACATTAATAGAAGATGATGATATTGAAATGCTTAATCCTGCTGAAAACCTTTATCCAAATGAATAAGATTTAGACTTAAGCATTTCAACTTCTATTAATTTTAAATCTTCAGTTTTTACATCTTCTAATAGTTATGAAAGTAAGAATTTTAATAAAATTGAATCTGATAATGATATACAAGAAGGTGAGTATAATGTTGACGAAATTGTTGTTGCAGAATTAAATTACAGTTCACATTAAATACAAATATAAAAAAAAAAAAGAGAATTAGATAATATAATAGTTCTCTTATGAATTCAAATACAGTATATCAATTCGTGAATTATAGTGATAGTTAAAACCTCTCCTCGATCTTGTAAAAAAAAAAAACTTATTTTATCCCTTACTCTAAATTGATGTATATATTTTTTTATCTTACTTTGCTTTACTATTATGTTATATAAAATATTCATATTATAAAGATACAAATCATGAGAATCTTACAATATATACTTATTTATCGTTTAAGATCAATATCGCAATTTATAGTTACATACATATCAGGTACTATACACATATATAATTACTATATAATCGAACAAAAAAATTTATCCGTGAAGATGTATACATGAACATGTCAATATTTTAAAGGCTTTATTTATTTAGATAACCCTCTGATTTATTAAAATTACTTATCGTTATAATTACTTATGTTACTATTGGATTCTATTGTGCCACAATTTTTAATAAAAAAAGAACACTTAAAGAGTACATTAAGAAGACTTTGGCAAGTCTAACCTTATTTGTACATGTTTATATGTTCAAGAGATATCAGGTTTGAATTTTTTTAAAAAAAACCTGGCCAACAATTTACTATGTATATTTATAATTAGATTGATATAAAATACTCTAATAAAGGATCCAGTATATACGTATGTGAAAGAAAAATAAATAATTATTAAGCATTACTACAACTGCATTGAGCAAATACTTACATATTAGTCATTATGACACTCATTATGACCATTACATTCATTATAACTGTTGTATTCATTATGTCCATTACACCCATTACAACTATTACACCCATTACAACTATTACACCCATTACAGCTATTATAGCTATTATGACAATTACAGCTGTTACAACTATTACATCTGTTACAGCTATTACAGCTATTATGACAATTACAGCTATTATGATTATTACACCCTTTACGGCAAAAAATTACAACTTTAAGTCAAAGGGTTGCAACTTTACAACTTTATCAAATCTATTACAGCAGGCAACCTTAATGAAGATATATGCTTTCAATTAAGTAATACAGAGTTGTTATATAATGTTAATTGCTCAAAATATATTATTTTTTTAGTATAGTGACCAAATTTATAGTAATAAATATATGAATATAAATTTATTAAATGAATCTAATAGACCAAAAAGGTCACCTTAATATCAAAAAAAAAAAAATTAAATAAACAAATCTAATTGTAATGCTATAGGCTTGCTAAACAAATCATTGCATACTAATAAAAACAATACACAAGATTCAAAGTTCTTCACTAGAATGTCTAAGCTTATGCATCTTGGAAAGTTTTTATTAAAAATGTTAAGCAAACCTTCATGAAACTTATTAGCTTGTCTATCTTATTTTAGATTATTTTATTCTTGATTACTTTGTATATACTTATTTTATTCTTAATAATCTAATATATCTTTATCTTGATAAAAGCAATAAAATTTTTTAATATATAATAATGTTTCTACTCTTCAAGTTTCACTCACTCTTCTATATATACAAAGTATCTAAATTATACTAACATACTTAACATATCATGAAAACATAAGTTATGCAAATCTAAAAAGCAAAAGCAAAACAGAAGCAAAGCAAAACAGAGCAAAGCAAAAATATGGAAAAGCAAATAACAAACAAAAAAAATTTATGAAAAAAGTGTAAGTCAATCTTCAGAAAAGCCAAAGCAATAGCAAACTAGTATATATTGTAGGTTTAGAGATGGGAGCTGGGCATTTTTATTTGGCTTGAGCTAAACTAGTACAATATAGTTGTGTCTGTACCATTGCAGAATAATAGGTTTTTTGCAACAGCCAGACTTCTGATTATATAATAAAAAAAGAAGACATGTTGCAGAATTTGAACCAAACACTACAACTGGCATGTTGAATATATTTGATGCTAGTTGTGTGCACTTTGGAGAATAGAACCAGAATTCCTATAAACATACTGGTTTTATATATGATAAAATAGCTATAAGCTAGTTAATATTATATCTAAGTATATTGTCATATAATTCTTTCTTCTTAGTCAACTAGTTTTTTATAATAACTTTAATATCTTGTTACCTTTTCTCATCTTTAAAAAAGGCTATAGCTAACGATCTAAATCCATAGTGACCATTTGAGATTGGGTTATGTACTTGTAATATTATATCTTAAGAAATATATAAATTAGAATATATGCTAGAAAAATGTGATGCTACTATATTATCATTTGACTTTTGTCTAACAGTAACATTCTTTGATGTCTTGTTCTTATTCTTGCTACAAATATACTTGCTATTCTGTGAATGACCACATGCACACTTAACTATTAGCATCTTGATTTTGTTATAGTTAGCTACATTATCAATGCTAATTGTCTCAAAAGCATCTTTATGTAAAATATTTAAATCTTTTTGTAATGGTAACTCTGGTACTTTTTTATGTTTAGTAACATGATCAGAAACTTGCTACATCAGATCTAAAAAAGCATCATGATGAAACTTTAGAATCTGTTTAAAAATCTGCATAACTTCAGATAAGTTGTGTGTTTCATTTCATTATTATGCTTCATATGCCAGTGCTGGTGAATCTTACTTGAAGATACACAAGTATGCAAACATAATAAATAAACTGAAATAATATGTTAGCATGGAGTTCTAATACATTGTAAATACAGACATGTGCAAGTACTGGATGCTCCAATATGTACAATACATGTTGTGCTGGCTTTATTATCAATTTGTGTTATATTATATATACTATTACTACTTTCAAATACTTTATAGTTGCCAGATTTTGCAAGATCTCTCTGTTGTTTTACAAATGATTCAAATACAAATTGTGAATATACTAATTGCAGTTCATTCAAACCTGCATCTGCACTATCATTTATATGCTTGTTCTGATGTAAAAATATTTCATATTTAAGCTTTTAAGAGCTTCTTGTAATTGTTGCCAAAGAGTTGTGAGCAACCTATAAAATTAAAAAAAAATTTAAAAAAAAAAATTTAAAAAAAAAATCAAAAAAAAATTTAAAATAAATAAATAAATAAAATAGCAAGAGTTATGAGTAACCTATCAACTGAAGTAAATCAATTTTCAATACTTTTTAGTTTACTATATAGGTTTTTTACATGTTGACTTAACTTTATATCAAGATTTATATTGTGCTTTGTATATAGTATGAGCCAGCTATTTTTATATGGCATCCAAGTTTTATATATATACTTTTTTGTTTTTGGAAATTGTCTTCATAATGCTATAATCTCTTGCTTAATCTAATAAATTTCCAGATTATCATCATATGCAAGTTTCTGAATAGCCTTAACAAATTCATCAATATTAACATGTTTTTTAAGCTTGTTTCTAATGTTTTTGAAAATGTGCCAAGTACATAACTAATGTCACACATAAGAGACTTTTTAGAAATTGCTGCCATGAAGGCTAACTCCTGATTAGTTATAATAGTTGCTACTTATGTATTACCTATCAACCTAATTAATGCTTTACTCAATTTCTGTATTACCCAGCAATAAAAATCTTTTGTCTCAGAGTAAACAAGTACAAAGGCTAATAGGTAAGTGAATTCAAGTCTATTAATGCTGCAAATAACTATTAACAGCATAGAAAATTGATTGGTTTTGTATATTGCATCAATAATTAGAACATCCTTTGCTACTACAAACTTAGAGAATGAATTACGATATGCCCAAAAAATTGCTTGGACAAATTTATTATCTTGATCTTATTTACTATTATATGCAGCATATTCTATAATATTTTTATTATTGCACAAAGTTTTAAAAAACATTTTAATCTCATTTAACCCTTCAAGCTTATGCTGATATTAACAGCTCACTGTGTTATAAATATTAGATTTATGAATATATTTGAAGCTAACTGAATTTAATACCAAGAATATATCTTTTGTCCTAAGTTCATTATCATAAAGCTTTTTTATTAAGCCTAGGTTATCTTTATCAAGTTTACAAAGAATAGTACTAAATTTCATGGCTTTTATACAGAGTTCATAATTATGCATTAAGGATGACTTAGTAATAATAAATTGTTAAACATGTTTGCAATAATTTATACTAATTGCAAAAGAACATCCAGTACACTTTGTTATATATACATCATTTGTTTTATTGTATTTTTCTTGCTTTTTGTATACAAAAAGTGCTTGCCTATAGCAACTATTATCTGAATTTCTTGTCATTTTATCTAAAATTATAACAGTGTTTGTTTGTGCAGTATATCTTTTAATTGTTGCACATGCTTTAGCAAAGGTTGCAAAGGTACATTCTGATTTCACAATGCTGCTATCTATATGAGTTTTAAAAATATGTACTAAGTCCACAAAGCTATTATTTATACAATCAAAGGTTCCAATAGTACATTCTAACTCCACAGTGCTATTATTTATATGAACTTCATCGAAGGTTATAAAAACATGTTTCAACTCTACAATGTTAGTGTCTATATAAGTTTTAGTAAAGGTTAGATAGATACATTTAGATTCCATAGTACTAGCAATATATTTACTATAAGGTAAACTTTTTTTTTTATTCACTTCTGCTTATAAATACATTTTAATTTTCAATTAATTATATCATTATGCATACTAAATCTGTTATCACAACTCTGATATTTGATTAATATTCCTGATCTCTGATTAATATTCTGAGACTCATAGACAGAAGTTTGTTTAATTGGCTAATAAAATTTACATTATTTATACAGTTTAGAGTACTTTTTAAAAAAAATAAAAACTAACTATAATAAAGTAAAAAAAAAACATATAGAAGGTTTTATTAGAGTTGTAGGACTTTATAGTCAAAATTAAAATTTAATTCTTGTCTGTTTAAAAAAATTAGCTTTGTAATAAGTTAATTCTATTAGGTTTTAAGAAGTTATTACTATACTACCTTTTTTAAACAAATGAGAATTAGATCTTATTTTTGGATATAGAGTCTTACAGCTCTAATGAAACCTTCTATATGTTTTTTTTTACTTTATTGTAGTTGGTTTTTATTTTTAAAAAAGTACTATAAACTGTATAAATAATGTAAAATTAAATTAAATTTATTAGCCAATCAGACAATCTTCTGTTACGATCCTGAGATGCAATATAATCCAAATCTTGAGATTTAATTAGCTGAGCCAAACTGATATATATGAAGTTACACAATATTAATAAAAAATTGATATATAAAATTTTTCATGATTTTATTAACTAAGCCAAATTGATGTATATAAATTTATACAAACTAATGTATAAAAAAAATTGCCATAAATATAAACACAAAAAGTGAACTATAAACAACAAATGGCTATAGTTTTAGAATAATTGAACTAGTAAAATTATAGTTATAGAAAAAAAGTTAATCCAAAATAAGTAAAGCAGAACTAATATACCTAAATCAGCTACTCGATACAAAAGAAAAAAGACTAATAATATAGCAGCAATTTAAGGCCTACTAGAATTAATTAAGCAAAGGCAAAAAAACAAAGTGGTTCAAAATGATAGAAACAAAAGTGCTTAACAGAATTGAAAGCAAAGAAGTTAAAGAACAATTCAAAACAGACAGATATAATACACAGACAATAAGATTAAATGAGAAAGTCTGTCAAATAACAGAAGAAAAAAAGAATAGATAGTATACAATGCAACTAAGAATAGACAAGTAAGAAAAATAGTTAAAAAGAAGAAAAAGAAGCTACTAATAGAACATTGACAAATGCATAACATAAAAAATAACTTAATAATGAAAATCAATAAATGCAAAAAGTGTATGAAAGAAAAAGAAACAAAAAAAAATAACTATTAATATTAGATAAAAATTAACAACAAAATAAACATAGTTTCAGATATGCTAATAGAAAGAAACAATAATATAATTAAGACAGCTACTAACCAACTAATAGGATATATAAGAACAGAGAAGTTAAAAAAAAATAAACTAAAGCTAATAGAACTGAAAATATTAAAAGACCTAGAAATAGAATTAATTAAAAACAAAAATTAAGAAAGAATATTAGTTAAGAGCTAATAGAAATCTTAAAAAGAAATATATTGAAAGACAAAAGCAAATACATAATATATACAGATGGTGCAGCAAATAAAAAAAACAAAGAAAAGACAATAGATAAAAACATAAATATAGAATAGATATAATAAGTAAAGCACAAGATTGGTTAGAAAAGAAGATATTATTAGGGGTAAAAGGATGGCCTATATCTATTATAGCTGAGATGCTAGCAATATAAGCAGTAGTTTTAACAATATCAAAAAGAAAAAAACTAGAAATATTTACAGATAGCAATGCAGTAATTAGAAATATTGATAAAGGTTTAGTATATATAGATAAAACTAAAGTTCTTAAAAAAATATATATATTATGGATATTGAAGATAATAGATATAATTAGAACAAAGAACATATAAATAAAGTGAATTAAAGTGAAAAATCATAGTAGAAACAAATAAAATAATAAAGCTAATAGCCTTGTAAAGAAGAAAACATTAAGTAGAAAAATAATTTTTCTAGAAGAAGTTAGCTATAAAAAGATAGAGTACTGCTTAGAGTAGAAAAACAAATGATTAGATATATTAGCAAGACTTTTATATAAACTAGTAACAAATGTCAAACTAGGAATAGAGTAAAAAAAAAACAATAGCAATCAAGAATATAGAACCAGAAACAGAAGCAATGACTTATGATTGGACATACTTTTGAAGAAGGCTAAAGTCATCTAAAGAAGTACATTGTTTAACAAGAAGAAGCAGTATAAGAAAAAGTGCTTTTATGAAATATATATTATACAAACTTTCAATATTAGAAAAACTTAACAGAAAAAGTCAGATATATATACAACAGCAGAATGCCAAGTCTGCCAAAGCAAAGTTAAAAAAATACAAGAACATTTGGCATTGTATAAGAGACAAGCAAATCTTAAAAAAAGAATATAGAAAGTATCTATTACAACAGTATAAAAAAGTTTAAAAGAAGAAAAAAAAATTCAGATTCTATCTTATATATTATATATAGCACTTTTTGAACAAACAGAGAGAGATAAAATAGAAATAAGAAAAAAACTAACCAAAAGTCTAATTTTAAAAACAACTCAAGACAAATTATTACAAATTTTGAGTATAAAAACAAGACAACAGTTTATAAACATAGTAGCAAAAACAGCATGAAATATATTCTATAAATAAGTCTAAAGAATTCATTATAAAAAGGCCAACACATTGTAATGCTTCAAATAGTTGCTCACTTAAAAATCTCTATTCATAAGGTATTTCAGATCAGTTTGCATAATATTGAATAATACTATTACTATAAAAGAGGGCATGGATTTGGCAGAGTATATATTTTATTAGAGTATATATAGATACATTCCTTTTTTCTTGCATATAAATGCTTTGTGCTTTATATATTATTTATATATCTGCTAATTCTGCTAATTATGCTAATTATTTTATATATAGAGTAACATCAATAGAAAAGAGACAAATTTTTTCTAAGTAAAAGTTTTCTTAACTTTAAACTTAAATATCTTAACATCTATTTATTAAATTTGCTAAAAAAAAATTTTATTTTAATTCTATATAATTTTAAGATTAAAATAAAAAAATTTTTAGCAAATTTGATTAGATAGTTGTTAAGTTATTTTAATTTAAAAATTAAATAAAATTTACTAAAAATGATTTGTCTCTTTTCTATTGATGTCACCCCATATGCTAGTTATTCTAAATCTACTGTATATGCAGTTTTTGCTAAATCTACTAACTATACTACATTTGCTAAATAATTATACAATTGATTTTTTTTAGGTTTAATGCATTATTAATCAGTTTCTAATCATTACAATATAAGAAAAAGAAAGAGAAATAATGAGTAAAAAGAAAAACAGAAAACTAAAAAGAAAAAAAATTTTGTAAAAAGAAAAAAAGAAAAATTAGTTAGCAAGAAATAAAAGAAAAAAACAAAAAAAACAAAAAAAAAAGAAGAATGAATTGAGAAGAAAGTTAGAAAGACAATTAACAAGCTTGTTATGAAAGAGAAAAGACTCTTTTATTACAGATTTTAAGTAGTTAAACAAGCAGCTTACTTCTGCTAGAAGTAATATAGCAGGTTGCACTTAGGTACTATTAGAGTAGGCAGATGATGCTAGGCTTAGTTGTTAGATATATTTATGTAATTGCAATAGTAATTTCAAAAATTTTAATAAAGCACTAGTATGACTGTTTAAAAATAAATAAATAATTATATAAAAAAATAGTAAGAAATTGAACCTTAAATCTGCTATTTAAAGATTAACAATCTGTTTATTTCACTAAGTTGTTACATCTTATTCAACTAATAATTAAAAGACAATTTATTATTATTATTATTATTATTTTTATTTAAGAAATTATGCTAGTACTTTATTAAAATTCTTGAAACTATACAAATTATATAGAATTTTTCTAATATTTAAGTTTAGCATCATCTAGTCACCTTATTGGCACTTAAGTGCAATCTGTTATACTACTTTAAACAGAAGTAAACTGCTCATCTAACTGCTATTTTACAATAGAATATTACTAATCTGATGATGTTTTTTTATAAGAAAATAAAAAAACAAAAAAAAGTTTTTATATATAGAAAAATACAGAGATATAGAGGTAAATAATAAAAGATACAAACCAAAAAATAAAAAAGAGAGGATAGTGATCCTAGTGTAGTAGTTGGGTTGTTATCTTCCAAGTGGCAGGTCTAAGATTCAAATCCCACCTATAATAAAATTTGAAAATTATATCTGTATTATGATAACTGTCTTATGTTGATTAGTTGGCCTTATGTAGCTGTAACTTAGGTACACTAAGTTAGGTTCTACCAATATTGAGAGCTTAGAACATCTATATGAAGTGTTATATTACATGTATATAGAGAAATGTATAACTAGTGTTGCATAAGACTTCAGTGCAAACCTATGATAAGACCATCAGACATAGAAGACTAAGAAACCAAGATGACAGAAACCCACTTGGAAATTCCTAAGTAAAAAGGTAGCATAAACTTTCAATAATACCATTGAACCAGTTAAAGCTTACAAAACATCTTTATAAAAACCAAAGGTTAAACTGGATATCAAATATATATAAAAGAGCATATAACCAATCAGGCCACTGTATTCATCAGAGAAAAAGGATACAGAAATATATCATATTAGGCCATCTAGATAGGCTATCTGAATTGGTAGTCTGAAAAAGACTGCTAGTTCTGAGTTGCAACTAGTAGAAAATAATAGAGAAGATACTAGAAAGATAGATACTAGAGTTCTAGTGAATTTTACAAGAGTAGAAATAGTATGCCATAGTGGTTAAACAGATAACCCTTGTAATTGCAAGTATTAGATAACTATAGTATATTGCATAAAACTAGGTTTATATATGTAGAATATAAAGGCTCTAGTAAGTTTTCTATTAAGAATAAAGTAGTTTTAAGAGTAATGACCAGCATTGAAAACTTGAATG